TTTGCACAAAGAAGATAAAAAAGTATTTTGAAAATGATATCTCTGCCAACAAGTCAGCATTAAAAAATTAAAGATTTTAGAGACATGAAACCAGGTAGAGACAGTTGGACTGTTGGATAATAACAGATTTAAATGAGTACTAAAGAAGGATAAGGTGCTTAAAGAGAAGCTGAATGAATTCTTTTCAACAGTCTATACTGCAAAAGTAGTACAGAAGTTTGTCTGAACTAGTATTTTCAGGGGAATTACAGGCTTTCTAGGAAGTACAGAAAAAACTTTCTCACTCCTTGCATCTTGAAAAACACTTAAACCTCTGATTCTGTTCTGAATCTGCCACTGTGGCCCTACGGGGTGTTCCGGAAGACAGGGAGTGGAGGACACAGGAACCACCATGGTGCTGCTTCAGTGTCCTTCCATTGGACTCCAAGGCATGATGCTTTTACCGCTGAACTGGGAAAGAGGCTTCTTCTGCCCAGATTAGGCTGCCCTTAATCCTCTGAGTTCACAAGGTTATGGGTGTCTTTATTGGATTGAAGCCATGGCTCTTTATTCTGTGCCTCCCCTCAACATTAACATAAAAGTCAGGGCAGTTTACAACAAAAAGAAAAAAAGCAGTGAAGGATCACCATAAACTAAAAGCAAATATTTAGGTAGGGTTAAAGCCTTCCAACAGAAATAAACAACGGCAATTAATAACCTGGAAAATAAAACACCAGTGTCTAAAAGATCACAACATAGTTGCCAGGAGAATTTGTTGTGTTTTTTTTTGGGGGGGGGTTACACAAGCAGGATGCTACTACTGGGAAGGGTCTTCCCCCAGTGTTGAGCTACCTCATATTAGGTAGCGATTCACAGGACAGATTCTGAATCCTTGCATTGGCTGCTGTTTTAGAAGATGTTCCCTCAAGTACTCAGCTTCCAAGCCATGTAGGGCTTTAAAAGTAAGAATTAATTCTTTGAATTATGCTTGGAAATGGACCAGGAGCTAGTGGGGCTCTTTAAATCCTGCTGAGATGGATGTCTTCCCAGAAACTGGTCCCAGTTATTGGCCTAATGGCAGTACTTTGAACTAACTTTGGTTAGCAAACAGTCTTACATACAATACATGACATATCCTTGGAGGTTACTAAAGTATGGATAATCATAGACAGTTTATCATCCCCGTTAATCCCAGCCATATTTATCAGCGGTATGGCTATGAAAACATTGCCCTTGCCATTGCTGCAGATGCTACAGGTGAACTGTTTCCCTGGTTGTATGGTTTATGACAAATTACCATTTGGTAGATGTTCTGTTTCTCTGGCATTCTGGAGCAAAAATTGTCCACAGAAGACTGAAACAAAAGACTTCTGAGTAACAATTAATCAAGCAGTTCAGGTCAATCTCCTGTGGCAAAGCTATGCTGCTGTTTCTAAATCTCACTGTATGTATTAATTGGTTTACCTAACAGTAGGATGTTTATCTTATCAGCAGTAACTCTTTTGCAAATGGCTGTTATTAATAAGGTGACCATCACTGTCTGTACTTCATACATTTCATTTCTCTCTGAATTTACTGCTTACAACTCTCCCAACCATTTGTAATTGAGGATAACATCTGATTATGTCAGTTGCTTTTTGCATCTGATGGACCCGAGCCCACTGGAGCTTGTTTGTTCGTCTTTAAGGCGCTACAAGGATTTTGATATGTTTTGTTTAGTTCTTTTGCATCAGTTCCTTCTCACAACAGATGTTCTCAGGTCAATAACTAAGTAACAAGCATTCATTCTACTGTCCATTAAACCCTAGCTGTTGACAAAGGCATACCAATTTATCACAAAATTAATGCATTTTACATCCATAGCTGCCAGGGCTACCTTTTAAAGATAATAATAAAAGAGAGGCTTAGTTAATAGCATGGTGTAATTAAGAGTATTTCCATGTTTTGATATAGAACTCCAATTTAAGAAAAGGCAGTCATGCCTATATCGGGCTTAAATTTTACACAAGCCAAATGTACTTGAGCGCTTATGCCCAAGACTCCAATCTTTAATGATTTCCAAATATACACAGGCTGGTGAGGGAAATATATATTCTCCTTATCATAACAAAGTTATTTTAGCATTGTGGCTCTGTGCTGAAAAAAGAAAATGGTAGAGTATCATTCCCCAAAGGAAATGAGACATACTGTACACTGTGCATGCAGTGCTTTTCAATCCTTCTGTTATTCCTCTTCTGCTGCTTGAGACAAGACCTCCTGTAAGTCATATCTGCATTAACGCTTGAACTCACCACACAAAACTGAATACCCTGTGCTATGGAAATGATTTCCTGATCTAATCTATATTTGAGTCAAGTGGAAAGATTCCCCCTCTCCCCCAGAATACACACCTTTCTTTCAGCATGAAAAGATCCAATATGCCATGGAATTGTCCAGATGTGATATGAATGGATTCTTAAATGGTGGCTCTAGCACTCTCCTACAACTTCACAAACCACAAGAATTTGTAACGTATTTCAGGAACTTATTTTTTGAGTCAAGCACTGCTAAACACTTTTACATGTAGCATTACATCCCCCACATAATTTTCCCCACCCTTCCAACATCATAGAAAAATAAGTTTATGAAGGAATGTAAATTGCTGCTATGCTGTGCAGAAAACTGCCCTGGAAGGCAGGATGAATTGCACTTCTGTACCCTTTAGACATCCATTTCCCATACAATAGACCCCACAGGTTTGTTCTTAGAAATGTCCTACAAATGCCAACAGTTCCGAGAACACACAGATGACAAAATAATTCCTGAGTGAGTCTATTGTCCCAGACTGAATAGACTGTCTGTCTGTTTATGATGACATCTTTGACACATATTTATTTAGTTCTCTCTCTATCGATGGTACAGACATACTGCTTAATATCATAATCTCTCTAAATACCTGACATATTTACTTACTTACTTATTTATTCACATACATATATGCTGCCTATAACTGGCAGAATGGCCTCCCTAGGCAGCTCACACAAGAGAACAGTTAAAAAAATACAATTGTAAAATGTAAAATAATTCAGTATGATAAAACCAATAAAGGTTCATCCGCACTCACAAAGGACTTAGATATTAAAGAATTTCTTTAAAAGGTATGTCTTTGCGTGGCACCAAAAAGAAAACAAAGATGGCACCAGGCGAATTTCCCTAGGGAGGGAGTCCAGAAAGTACAGTTAAAAATTTATGTATAGTACAATACTAGAAATGCTAGAAAGGTAATATCAGGAGCAGGAGGAAAATGGAGTAGCATCATGATAATCCTAAACCCCAGAAAATCTGTTTAAACCCACACATTTTTAGGAAGAAATTAAAACTTCTTCCTATAGTGCCTGACAAATGTGTGGGGTTAGTGCTGCAAAGGGGAAGAGCCACTGCTGAAAAGGTGGAATAGAAGCATTCTCTTGCAGGATGAATAAGAAGGTATCCTCTGAAGTTCTTACAGGACCCCTGAATATATTAAGGAAGGCTGTCTGTTATGTTATGTGGCGTAACAGCATATAGTAAATGTGCTCACTTTATGCTTTACAAGAGGGAAAACAAGGATTATGGATATATATTATCTTGAAAATAATAGAATTAATAAACAAAATCCAATTCCTTCCTTCCTTTTTGAAGGAAGTGGAAGGGTTTAGAAATGCAGGATGAGACTTCTCCCAATCAAATTGTGATTGCAAATCATTTGTACATTGTTTTAGGAACAGGTGACATTCTTATCCACTGACTTAAGGTAACTGCTGCTGAGAACCTCTGTTTGTGGGTAATACAGCTTTATTCTGGAATCTCTTTTTTATCGTTTCTGTAAAAGGGTTTCTGAGATTACAGACTCTTATGATGAGAAGCCGCTCCATCCACCAGCCAGCCCCATGGTCACAAATGACTTTTCTCTAATTTCCTCTAAGAAGATGGACTGTAGGCTTATTGTTATCACAAAGGTAAGCCTGTGAAGAAGGAAAGAAAGACATAGGGGAGTGGGGTGAGTCTAAAGCCATGAAAGAAAGAAATTGTAGGGAAAAAATCCCTCAGTTTTCTTATTAATCCAAAGTAATATTTGCAAACTGTCTGAAGACCTTTGATTATTGGACAGCATATAATACATGAAACAATACATGAAATGAGAGGAACACTTATAGTAGTAGAAAATAACACTTTTGAGAGGGAAATACATCTTGAAACCTTAATTTGAGGACTTCAGGCTTACCGACAATCTATCTGCATTCTCAACAACTTAAGAATTCATGGAGAGATGGTCTTTTGAAGATTTCAACCCATTTTTCCTGCCTTAACTATGAAACTGGCACCTTCATTCAGCTTCAACTGGCTGCTGTGCATTTTTAATCACAGGCTTTCTTGCGGACAAAGCTTAATCTTTTGAACTTGGAAGCATAATTATTATTGCAAAGGAGAATGTGGGGTGCGGCTGGGACAAACATGGACCGAGGGTGAAGCCACTGGGTCATCACTGCTTCCAGTCTCACTGGCCAGCAAAACAATAACTTTTTTGTTAGTGTTGGAAAGTGGTCAGTTTTGATGGAGTCTGGCATTCCATTTACCCACATTATCTTTTGCGTATTGGAGTGGATTCTAAGAACCGCATTAAAAGATTTACATTTGAACGTTGTGATTTGTTTTAAGCATGGGACCCTGTTTTTAAGGTTTTGGTGGTTTGAAGTCACATTGTACAATTTCCTGGAAACCCAGTGCAGCATTTGCCTTCACCAAAGGAGTACTTTCAGGCTTGCCAATTTGGGCAGGAAAAACAAGACAAAACACAAAACTATCTTAGCCTTTTCCTGCCTTTTTTGAAGAGAAGTCTGATAGGCAGAAATCAGCGGGTGAAGCTTATTTTGGCATTGAGTAAAATGATCTGGCATTGAGCATTCAAACTGCTGTTAAAGGCATGGCTACAGGAATTGATTGGCAGTTTTCTGTGCATGTGTGTGTGAGATGAAAGGGTAACAAAAACTAAAGGAAACAGCAGTAGGTGGAATGCAATGGTGTCACCAGAAGCAAAGAAAATCACTAGGAGAACTGATTCTCCCAGGAGGTTCCATGTACTCCCAGATCTAATTTGGAAGGTTGGTGAACCCTCTGGAAAACCCTGGGGGGGTGGGGGGCAGGCTGCAGGGGTTAGGACAAGACAGGAAAGTCCCATTGCACAAGCAGAAGTTCCCTTGTGGCAGTGGACTTCTAATCATATGATGTTAGATCAGATCTGATGGTAGTACTGCAGTAGCCACAGCACAATGGTGACTTTTGCTCTGGCTTATGAAACCTATTTGCAGTAAGACTTAAGATGGCCTTCTGGTCAAAAGTCTTCCATGTATGGGGGAAAAAGATATCCACTCTGCAACACAAAATCCCAGAGGCTGAGTGATATTGTGTACTGGTAGCAAGTCATTATTGACTTGATTTGGTGAATTCTTGAAAGCTGCCCAGAGCAGCTTTTTTATCAAATAAATCAAATATCAATTAATTGCTAAATAAATAATCTAATAAATACTAATATGTAAACAAGCCCTTACTTTCCCCTTATATCTGTATGAGGGAGGTGTGGGACCATGACACCATCTCTGTTCCCAATGATGACCTATCTGTCCAGCATCTGTCCATACATGAAGGGTCCTTTCAGACTAGTGGTGTGCATTCATCTGCAAGAAGGGTCTGTTCACAGCCTGCCTGGTGTTGTTGGCATCAAGTCTCAGGCTAGTAGTGGGATCTCACTAAACACAGATTCTGCCAGCAGCCCTACCTTTGACACAGTAGGAAGTAGTTGCAATACTTGAATCATTCTGAACATTGAGCTGTGTATGACGTGCACATTTTATAGACACTTTCTCTAGACAGTTACAATGTGAACCACACTGTTATCTCTTTTAGCCTTCTAGAGTCAAACTTAACCTGCTGAAAACATATCCCAATCCCTGTTTAGATGTGCCGAGCTGGACTGGTAGAAGCAAGCATCACCTCCCCTAGCAGCCCTTCCAACAGTTCTTCCAGCTGGTATTGTATGAAGTATGGCATGAAGAGAAGGGAATTCCCCCAAATTGGGTAGAGCCACCTTGTACAAACAGAGTCCTTCCATCAACTGAGATCCTAAATCCAAGTCCAGATTAACTCATACTGAAGCAAAACCCACTGAAATCCATAAAACTTAATTAAAATAGGTATAACATATGTCCCATGGAATTTGGTGGGTCTATGCTAGGTTTGACCAAATCTGGACACTTCTAAGCCACTGTATTTTATAACAAACAGATCGGGAGAATTTGTTCCCTCCTACTCTGGAATTACTATGCAGTTTAGCATTTAGTTTTGTCTCTGCATTTTATGTTTGGACTCCGAGATCCTCAGAAAAAATGCAGGAGATGATAGTGCCTGTGATTGCTTTTATTGCCATTTTCATTAGAAGAATCACTTCACATAAAAGTCTTCTGTGAGAGATTTCATTGGTTTATAACCTCCACATGCAGCATATTATAGCTAATGAAATAGTTATTTCCTAAGATTGTTAATACTGGCACACTACATCGGCACTATTGATCTCTATTAAATAATTTTTCTCTTTCCTCTCTCAAATTCTTCCTAAGTGGAAATTAGAAAACTACTGGCACGCAATGAAAAGTTGAAAGCAACTTCATTTCCTAGCTAAACTATACTATAAATATATGACAACATGATCCGGCCTTCACCATTAATTCTAGAACTCTTGCTTTTAGTTTTATATTTTAGAGTACAATTAAATTTGAGTAGTAGAAGAACTTGTGATATAAACTACGGAAAATAAAATCACACAAATGCAGCTGGCATGATGGCAAAAGTACAGTTACATCTACAGAATTCAGCTCAGTGTCACCCAAGGCCTAAAAACCATAATATGTTGACTGAACAAATATTAGGATTTGGAATGGTTTTTATGGAATTAAGCTTTTTGGGGCTCAAACCCTAAGATTTTAGTCCTTGTTTAAGGAGAAATGGTGTTTCAGATAATATTAGATACATTCAGATACTAAGGTACTATTTGCAAATGTGGGTAAGTGAAAGATTTTGAAATATCCTGATCCTTCTATGTTTTAATTCTTGATGTGAATTTGTTAGCACTACTATTTCCAATTGCTCACTCTCAGGAAGTGTACATTCTCTCTCTCTCTCTCTCTCTCTCACACACACACACACACACACACACGCACATCCCACGATTTTTCTTTGTCTCTGTTCCCAGGTTCATGAGGTCCTAAAAGGGAGTGGACACTGTACTGGAATTACTGAGCTGATTGTGTTGGGAAGACTGGTCAATCCTCCCACAAAAGGGTTAGTCTTTCATTGACTTCATTCCTATTGAGATAACAGTAGATATTTCCCTGTGTACTGGTCTACCTCCCAGTTGGCCAAGCTTTTTCCCTGTGTGAGAATCCAAAGAGTTCTTCCTCAGGCATTTGACAGCCTCAAATGGAGCATTCATGGTCGTGTTTGTTTAATTCAGTTCCAGTATTATATTGTAACTCTGTTAAAGTTTGCATTGTACTTTTTGTGAATGACCCAGAAATAAATAGTGATCAACCATGCATAAGTCAGAGTGCTGGCAGATTACCAATCTCATCTAAAGTCTAGCTAGCTCTTTTTATGCCAGGAGTGAGAAATAAGCAGCCCTCCATATGTAATGGTATTCTCTTAGATGGGTACTTGCTGGTGTGAAATGGCAATGACTTCTAAGGTACCTGGGCAGCTATATCAGTTCCAATGATTTCTTAGAGATAGCTTCTCCACTGAGACTAGTTTGAATGGGGAATCTGTGGTTTTGTGGATATTGTTGGATTACAGCTTCTATCATCCCTCACCACTGGCCATGCTGATTATAGTTTATGGAAATTGGCATCCAGCAACAGTTGGAACCCTGCAGGTTGCCCACCTCTGCTTTATGCATCTATGTATTCTTTGTTTATCATTATCATGATCGTTTAGCACCAATATGTCCACAGCCTTGCTCCAAAATAATCTGGAGCAAGGTTTTAGATATGTTGGTGCTAAACCAAATTTACAATTAGTTTGCGAGATTACCATAGATTAGGCCCACACTGTCTATGAATCAGTGAGCTTTTTATTCATTCAAATGAGTGGGAAAGCAACTGTAATGCATTTTCAGTAGGAAAAGTTAGATCAGTTCACATCTGAATACAAACTTAACTAATTTTGCACTTTCAAACCAGTATATGATTTGAATCTCAGCTATCCTTCAAAATTTGCTGATTGTTGAAACTTTCAGTTCTCTAATCAAAAAGCACATACAAATATGTGTATATTGGGAGAAGTAGCATTCAGAAATTAATTGTACTGAGAGAAATATTTGCATAACTTTGTACATTAGAGGAAAATGCATATATTTTGAGAAAGTTCTCAAAAATGCATACAAATACGTATGCAAACCTTTTACAAACCCTCAAATTTGGGAAGAAACTGAAACTGCTATTTGTAGAGATATGTAATTTTCAGTAAACTTAATCTTCATTGATGCTATATGTTGTTCCCAGTGCCTATTGCTCTTTTCTTTCTTTTTTTTTTTTTTGCCACTTTACAATGCCATGTTGTAGTTCCGTAATACAATTCTCCCAGCAATAACTGGTTAAATAACATGATTGTTTCCTTTCTTTAGCTGCTCCCATCTAGTTAAACACTTTATCCAGCAGGAATATTTAATTAAAAGTGATTAGTTGCTGAAAACAGAGTAAAAGTTGACAATGGGATTTTTGTGCAAAGAACAGACTCTGTTTCAATGCATTTGGTAGGTTTTATTGACAGTATTTTTCTTCTTCTTCAAGGACAGCACATACCTTTATGTGTGAGCCAACTGAAAGTTGAAGGGGAAAGTATTTTTCTCCAAAACATACTTTTAGAGAACTTTGATGGTGGTCATTTCCCAATGTGACTGCAATGAATTTATGTCATATCTGAATAAAAAATTACTACTATAGCAAGTTTTTTTTTCCAAATAACATTTTGCATGCAATGAAGAGTCTAGGTCTTACTTTTCCATTTTGTTTCTCATGCAAAATAAAAAAGGATAGGCAAAAGGAAATTATTAGATCATGCTCCCATCAGCACTGGCCCTTGATCACAAGGCCTCATTGAACTATTGAATACAGCAGACAATATCTATACGGGCCAAATTTTTAACTGACAGATACTAGATGTGTACTTAGCTGGAATGCATGGGATATAAATGCTTTGGAGTGTCTGATTCCATTCCCTCAGCAGCATTATGCATTTTCATAGCACATTTCTCAGCCTTGGAGATCTGAAGAGGACATGGTCCAATGCTCCGTATGTGGGGTATAGTCAGGATCAGATGTTCTGAATTGTACAATTCTGATTCCCTAAATTAGCACTGGCTGTAGCTGCTCGAAGGATTATGTAGCCAAAACAGCAGCTGAATGGACAAACACAAACATGGAAGCTGAAAACATAAACATATGCTGTCCAGCTCATACATTCTGTTTAAGATAGGCTGAGCTTGTCCTCAACAGATTTTAAAAGTAGTGATGTCCTCCTGTAAAAGTATTAGCTGCATTAGAAAATTCAGTCAGCTTACTTAAGAGTCTCCATATTATTTACTTAGAAGTCCAAACCAGTTTGCTCAAATGTGCATGCATGTGCACACATGTAAATTCACTCTGTGAACTTATTGTGGTCTTCCAATCGAGCACTACCCAAAACGTTGCCTTTTTTATTTTGTGCGATATTAATGTGCAGATGGTTAAAAGAGTGTTCAACATCCTAGCAAGTTATGAGAGAATCTGTGAAGTATCTGCTAATGAGTTCAGCATGGCAAAGTGGTTAGAGCATTCTACTTAGACAATACAGATCCAGGTTCTGGTCCCCACTTGGCCAAGTTGCTTATGGGACTCCTTAGATCCAGTCACTTATTGTCAGCCTGACCTTCTGCACAACATGATTGTTGTAAAGATAATATAAACAGGAAGAGGAGATTTATGTAAGCTGTCTTGGGTTTCCTGTAGGAAAAAAAGCAGGAGTTGAACATAATTAATATAAAGGCTCCATGATCAAAGGATACTTGATGATTGCTGTTTCCTATAAAACAGAGCTTGACTGACATTGTCTGTTGGTGGACATCTTGCCCCTGCTGGCAGTGGCCAACACAATTGGGTCCCCGTCCAAGGCAAGCTGTTTCCCCAGTGCCTCCAGAGCGTATCCCTTTTATTTCTTTAAAAAAGTGGGCTTGATGAGTTGAAAGGGTTAATTGTGTGTCAAAGATAAGAATTTCATAAAAGTCACAACAAATTTAAATGATCTTGGTTTCCTATGAATCTGCCCTGCAGTTGTGCTGTGGACTGGCTGTTTCGAAGTAATGTGCATTCCATGCACTTGACTGTTACTTATGGAGGGAACTCATGTGAATATGCAGTTGATAAATGTGCATTAGCATGAATTTGCATGTGTGTCAATGCATAGTACTAGTGATGCACATTGGGAGTAATGTGCATTTGTACAAATGCACATGCGTGCAAGTGAAATTTATTTATTTATTTATTTGTACTTTTAAATAAAAAATTATAATGAAAACTCTAAGAACAGTAGTATGCATTTAGCAAGTGGAATTAAACTTTTTAACATCCTTCAAAATATCAAGTTCTGGCAAAATATGCCTAATAGCCTAAGAAAAGCAGATCAAAAGGATTTAACAAATTCTGTGTATCCTTAATGAGTGAACTAACTTTCTCCATGGCCTAACATGCCAAGAAAATCCCAGAATGATCCTCTTCTTGCCTGAGACAACTGCAAACCTTGCTTATATAAAGATGCTAACACCTGGTTACTGGAGAGCAGGTACATACTCATGATACCATCTTAGATGTCCACAGATGGGTTGGTTATCTTCAATAAAGAAGTCTATACAGGAGCCTATTCAAATTTTGCAATGCTTTGAGATGTATCCCTATCCTGAATCTGCTCTTCCACCCATTTGTCTATGGAAAGACCTGGTCACCACTAAGTTCAAACGAGAACCAGAGCAAAGATTGAGGCTGAAGCACCACTGAGCTAGACGCTCCATTCTGGTAGACACACTGCAAGATCTCCCTGAATAATATAGCGATTGTTCCTTTGTATGAATAACTTTCTTTTCCTGTTAGCTTGGTCTGTTTAAAAATAATACGTTCCAGAGAGGAACAAGGAGGGAAACTGCAAGCAACAGGACATGTGATAAGTGCCAAAGGGACTGATACTTCCTGGCATACAAAGGCAGGAAGACACAGAATCAGTGCGGCATGTTGAGTATAATATGCACATTCTTTTAAAGGGTTGAAAAATAATCTGAATAAAAAAGAGTTTACAGAGTAAGTGGCAATTCACCTTTCTTTATTTAAGAAAACCAAAAAAGGCCCTGTCAATTTTGACTTACCTAGATTTCAGTCTTGTTCCCAAATCGCAGTCAATACCTATAGGCAAAGGGGCAGCCTGAAATCCTTGTGATTCATTGAATTTTTCACTTTTAGGATGAGAATGAGAAGGGCACATTTTCATTAAGCTTTAAACTATGTCTTTAAAATGACAGTATGCAAATAGCAATATCATGATGATGGATTCAGATATGTTACATCAGTTGACCTTCTTAATTTAAGTGTATCCACTGGAAAGGAGGGGGAGCAGATTTCTATAAGCTGCGTTTATTTCAATGCAGTTGCAAACCTGATCTTTGACCCACTCTTTCATGGTTGTTTTCTTTCTAATTTCTTGTACAATGTGATCTGAAACAGGTCATCATGACATTCTTGATACATTCTCTATTGATTTCCCTCTCCTCACTGAGGAGCAGAGAGCAACTGCTTTTATTGCTGTGGGGAAAAGAAATGTTACATTGCAAAAACAGTGGAACGTCGCTAGCTGAAATAAACATTTCTTATGGGGAACTTTACATTACATAAGGAAAGCTGGAGTTGTCAACAAAGCAAGACATGTTAAAAAGGATCTCCTCTAGATTAATGACAATATTTACAAAATAGATTTTGGCCTAGACCTAATATTTAGCTGCACTTAAATGTTGGCTCCCAAAGGAATTAAAAGAGCAGCTGGTATTGTTGATCTAAGAGCATTGTGTCAGCCTGAACAGACAGTGTAAAGCTGCATGAGTTGCAGTGTCAACAAGCTATAACCTTGGAAAAACTGGATTTACTATTTTATATTGTGTTTAAATATTTTTCCTAAAATGACAGTGGGAATCAGACAAAATGGCAAAGCAAATCTAGTTTGAACCCCATTTTGTTTAAATAAAAAGAGAAGGCAGTTTCCCACATCTC